CCCTCAGTGTCACGCCCGTACCAGACCAGGACCAGCAACGGGATCGCAACCCTCGGTGTTGAGCCCGCACCTCACTCACCTCGGTCTGTATGCGGGATCCGAACCCTCGGCGGGAGCGCCGCCGCACTTCCAAGCGGTGCACTGTAGCAGTGCGCCACCAGGCTGGCCCAATATTGGTTTTCTTTTGATGAAACTTATTAAATGTGAGCAGAGTACATACTGAGAATAGTTTTCCAGTTTCCCGTAGGTTCACCTGACAAGAGATTGACCCTAAGCAGCAAGCAACAGTTCAGTTGACTGTTTTATATATATATATATGATCACCAAATCTCTGCTTGAGAATTCTAACCTTTAAAAAGGTTAGAATAAATGAAAATGAGAGCTTTATCGACATAAATTAATAAATTATTCTTTATAAAGAGTAACAGCTGAAACAACAAATAAAAAGAAAATTAGAAAATCATTAAGGCAACTCTAACCTTAAAAAAAGAAAAGAAAAAAGAAAAAGAAAAGTTATGCCAGGACACAAAAGTGCTCATAGAAACTGATAACAAAATCATGAAGACTCCAAAAAGTCAATGGGAAAAAGACATGATGAGGCAATTAACCAGGAAGAAATTTAAGAGATTAACAAGCACAGGGGATAAAAAAAAGTCTTTATTTAGTGCAAGTAAAAAGCATAACAACAACCCTCTTTTACCCTCTTAAATTGATAGAGATCTTTTTAAATGTACAGTGTTTGGTATGGTAAAATGGGAACTCTGACTCTCTCTGGATGAGGGATATATTGGTATAACCTTTTTATCAGGCATTTTGTATGCAATGAGGACATTTCTTGTCCTGTCTTCATTTTGACTCGGATATTATATCCCCAACCCTACAAATGTACAATGTCTTCCTGGGGGGGAACAAAAACCAAAATGCTGTAGAAAAAACACTGGGCTCTGTCTTTGACTAGTGACTAGTTACGGTATTTTTTAAAATTACTTTTTATTGAAAAATATTAACTGTACATAGTTATGGGGTACAGAGTTATACCTCAATACGTGTATGAAATGTGTGATGATCTAATCAGAGTAATTAGCATGCTCATAGTTAAGGTATTTTAAACATATCCTTTAATTTCTCAGGGCCTACATCTTCTATTTTATGCCAGGAGGTGACTGGATCATAACTGTCTCTAAAGCATCATACTAATGACTTTATAGTAAACATGTAAACAAGAAAGAAATTCAACATACCTATTTTTAATGTGCTGAGTCTTTAATTTCTCAGGGCCTACATCTTCTATTTTATGCCAGGAGGTGACTGGATCATAACTGTCTCTAAAGCATCATACTAAGGACTTTATAGTAAACATGTAAACAAGAAAGAAATTCAACATACCTATTTTTAATGTGCTGAGGAGAACCAAGACACTTGAAGCTGCCATTGACCATGATGGTCAGTCTTGTGCAAAGAGCCTCACATTCTTCCATGCTGAAGGAAATAAAAAGAAATATGTATATAAACGAGCCATGTCCTAAAGATGTGAGGCTTGACTCAAACTTCAAAAATAAAAAGTAGACAAAAATAACATTACTGAAAATTGTTTAATTTTTTTTATATAAATACATCATAAAACCAAATAAAATGCTTTTGAAATTGATGATATTTTAGGTAGCCAATTATACAATTAAAAAAATTATAAGCATTTTCAGGTACCAGGAAGACTACTAAAATTAAGGGGAGAGAACCATTCAGCAATAGTACAAAAACACAAAATAAATAAGAGTGATTGTAACAATAAAATGTGAATGTTTTATAAAAAGAAACAAGAAAACTTTACTAAAGGGCACAAATGAAATCTAGAATCAATGGAAGGAGGTATTAAAAAAACAACAAAAAAGAATATTTTAAACATGAGAAAATTGTTATAATATGAAAATTAGTGTATCATAAAACAATTTTAGTATAATGTTAGTGTAAATATAAAATAACAGTAATTATATATAAAATATAAACACATTATAATTTATATATAGTGTACAATGTAATACAAAAAATAATGCTATATATAACATTAATTTTCAATTATAATTTAAATTATAATGTAACTTAATATTATTTAATACCAAATATGTTATATAAATGTTTGTAAGTAATAATTATATTTATATAAAAATATAAATTATAACATAGGTATAGTGTGACACCAACAGAAATTTTAAGTTTATCATCCCCATGAAAAACTTTATAAACATATATATATTTATTTCTATATTTATATACTGAAAATATTTACAAAGTATGTCTTTAAAATTACTTAGTGAAAGGAAGAAAATTATTGAAAGAGAAGAGTCAGGGGAGAAGACTTGCTCCAGAAAATGTTAATATTTGTTATATAGCTAAAATGATTGAAATGAGGCAACACACTAAAGTATCACAAGTCAGATGGCATTAGAACAAGATAAGAGACCCCAAAATGAGATGCTAATACCTCAAATACATAAATGATTTGAGGATGAGAACACACTTTCTAAGCATAACAGCAATGGAAGAAACTGTGAAGGAGACCTTTGAGATACTTGAAAATGCAAAACTATAAACTCCTAATAAGTGTGTCAAGACACAGAGACCTAACATTTAAATAGTTGTAACAAACATAATGGGTAGGGGTTGATATACTCACTATAAAGAACTCATATACATTAGTTTAGAAACACAAAATAAATCCGATAGAGAAAAAATGGCAAATCACATGCAGGGACTATTCCAAGAACTGTTTGTGGCTGATAAACATACAAACAAATTAAAATCTTAGCCATCAAATCAGTTGATTCTAAAACAATTTTCTAGCCAGAGAGACATTCATCATGTGTGCTTTTGTATGTTGCAAAGGAAAATGTGCTTTTTTCCCATCCCCATTTCAAATCAAAACAATGAGTATTCAGATCAAAAAATATCCAAAGAGTTAAACAAATTTTCCTCAGTAATTCTAAACAGGTCATCTCACATAGTGCTGGTGGGAGTAAAAATTGGCATAACTTTTTGAAAACAAACTTGGCAATAAATCCTTTTCTAGGAACTTGCCAATAATTCCTTTTCTAGGAACTTGCCCTGGGAAACAGAAAATATGAATGCATGTAACTACTTATTTATAATAGTAAAAATCCGGAAATGGGTAAATGTTCCACAGTAGGTTAACATCATACTCATATGTGAGAGTGCACCTACGTGTTAGTAAGCCATTAAGATGAGGTTCTCTAGAGTCAATTAATTGCATGGAGAAAAGGTTATCATGGTAAAATGACAATGGATATTCAGAAAATTGTACGTGTATGCAAAAAAATTTTTTTTCCTAGAAAGAAAAAACAAAAAATATACGACTATCAATATCTGAAAAGTAAAATTAATGGTGGATTTTTTATCCTTCTTTTACCATTTTGTAATATCCAAATTTCTGACAGGGAGCATGTGTCATTGTTATTATCAGTAAGCAGTCCTAAAGCAGTCTGCTAGTTGGATTGATGGACATCAGATCAAAATTATATTTCTCAGCCTTCTTTGCTGCTAGACATGTACATACATCAAGTTTAGGTCAATGGAGTATACAGTTTCTGGGTCAGATTGAAATAAGGTGAGTCACCTGACCTGGATTTTTTTTTCCCCTTCTCTTTGGACATCAGATCAAAATTATATTTCTCAGCCTTCTTTGCTGCTAGACATGTACATACATCAAGTTTAGGTCAATGGAGTATACACTTTCTGGGTCAGATTGAAATAAGGTGAGTCACCTGACCTGGATTTTTTTTTCCCCTTCTCTTGAGCAGGGATATAGACACAGCACTGGGAAGTCAATGCCAACCATGGCAACGAGAACGTCTCACAGATGAGTAAGTGACGTGGTGGGGAGGACCAGAGGCCCCGGTGGGCTTTATGGAGCACAGTGCAATGACATAAATTGTTAAGTGAGAGAAAAAAAAGAGGTCGCATCTGAGTCACTGTAATTTGAGGTTTTTGTTATAGTAGCTTAACTTGAAATCAAGGGAATACATTCTGTGAACATTCCAAATATGCTTCATATATTTTTCTGTATAAACATCTCTCTCCATGTTTATTTCATTAATTTCAATATAAAGCAGTCATATAATTTTTATGAGTGCACTGTAGGTACTCTAATTAAAGAAGTAGCAGATGAGGTCACTAATATATTACCTCCTTCCACATAGCTCAGACAAGTGAAGGTTCAAATATCAACCAGTAAAAATTAAGGCTTCAGAATAAATGAAATGGTAGTTCCAACTGAATTGTTATTAGCTATCTAATGAATACCCTTCAAATATGTGGCATACCACAAAATCCGAGCCTGGAGAGCAGAGACAGAAATTTTGGTGGTCTACTAACTCAAGAATATACAAAACCGGGAACTGAACAAAAATGAAAGCAATCACTGACCATTCACTCAAGAAAATGAACACCAAATTCCCTTTATGTGTAGTTCAGCTGATTAGTACAAAAATATGGTGAGATGATGCCAAGATTTAAGGTCTTCGTGTATTTAAGTAATTCATGTATCAGTTTTGACATATGAGGACAAAGCAGTCCTAGTCATCTTTGATTAGATTGATTTTAATTTCTCTTAGAAAGTAAAGTGGTAGAAAAGGTTCTAATCCTCAGTTTCCTGCCCTGTGTTTTATCCTCTGGGGTAAGGAAAAAGAAAAGGCAACAAAAGAGGAATTCAAAGCTAAGAGGAATCTGTCCAATATAGAAACTTCTCAATGACAGACTGTCATTTTAGAATCACAGAATCAATCATAGGATGCCCTACTCTTCACTAACACTGAGCAATTTAGATCTTTGTGTTACATGAATGTGAACAGATTTATGAAAATGAATATATATCATTTATGTGAAACAAAATGAATAACAGGATATACAAGAGAAATTGCAGTGATATGTGGTCTTCCTGAGGACAGCCTGCAATAATTATTTGATATATGAGAAATAATAGAAATTTTTACTGTGACACCTCTTTGCCCAATCTTAGAACATCTGCATGAATGTGAGAACTCATGTCCTCGTGCCAGCAAAGAAATGCCAGCAATGTGAACACAGGAATGTAGAGAGTTTCCAGAGCTAGCAGAGAAAAATCATCATTTTAAGCAACAACATTTACATATTATGATAAAGTAGAAGATTTATCAAATTTATTACAATGTAAAATTTTATTTTCTGAAAAGAAACAGAAGACAAAAAAAATCAAGGGTACAAGTTATGATCAAGTAAAGAAGTTGGCAAATCCTTTCCCCAAAAAGTAACTATAAAGCTGTACAAAATTAACAAAAACAACTATTTCAGAATTCTGGAACTTGACCAAAAGCACACAACAATCTGAGCAGTGCTATGGCTGACAAACTGCTAAACTTAGGATAAGGAGAGTGGCATCCAGGCTTGAGCTGCTCCCACCCCTCTCCAGCTACTCGCAGGAAAGGTCAGGCCATGGGGACCGGAAGCTTCTCTGCCACAGTAGAAGGGGGACATTCAATTTGGACCACTAGGCAGTGCCCATGCCCAGTGACATTGTTGATGTGCATGACTGACTTGGAGCCAAGCAAAGAGAAAAGGCCAACACCTCCACTATGTGGCCAGAGTGGCCTCTACTAGACTGGAATGTGTGGTTGTGGCATGAATTTAGCCAGCTGAGGCTGCATGCATGTGCAGCACAGACCAGAGAGGACCCAGTCCAGCCACATATCCCTCTAGTGCTGTACGTATGCATGTAGGAGAGACACAAAGGAACCCAGTAACACTGGCCCAACTTGAAAATGGCCTGAGTTTTGCATGTTCTCCACTATCCACACCCAGATCCACTGGCAGGAGACAGAAATCTGTTGGCCTGAGGTGGTTGAGTACAACCTCTGCCCAGTCACTGATCAGCAACTAGACTATGCAAAAACACGAGCAACTCCTAAGCAGTCAGTCTTAAAAAAAACTGAAAACAAATTTTAAAAAACAAACTGAGGGGCCGACCCTGTGGCTCACTAGGGAGAGTGCGGCACTGGGAGGGAGCGCAGCGATGCTCCCGCCGCGGGTTCGGATCCTATATAGGGATGGCCGGTGCGCTCACTGGCTGAGCACGGTGCGGGCGACACCAAGCCAAGGGTTGTGACCCCCTTACCGGTCACAAAAAGGACAAAAAGATATACTTTCCTTCCTTCATAAACTGAGTTCATCCAGAGTCATCAAGAATAGATTAAATTTAGAACATTTGGAATGAATAAATATTAATGAATGGTAAGAGTTTTCAGATCATTTCCAGGCAAAGAACTCACACACACTTAATGAACAAACAAACATTAAAAAAAATAAAAATAAAAACTGGCAAAAGCAACCATCTTGGGGGCCCAGGGGAATTGACCTGCTACAATAACCTAAAATGTTCAGATTTCAATTAAAAATATTATAAGACTTACAAAGCAGCAGGAAAGTGTGATCCATACTCAGGGGAGAAAATTCAATGGAAGTATCCATAGATGTTAGATTTAGCAGGAAAAAATATTCAATGCAGTAATTATAAATTTGTTTAAAGAACTAAAGGAAACCATGTTTAAAGAATTGAAGAAAAGTATGACAAAAAATTAAAAACAACAAATAAAGATTCTGAAGAAAGATATGAAAATTATTTTAAAAAGAACTAAATAGAAATCTTTCAGTTAGAAATTACAATAAACAAAATAAAAAATTCACTACAGGACCCAATGCCAGATTCAAGATCACAGAAAAAAGAAACAGTGAACTTGAAGCAAATCAATAAAAATTATACAATCTGAAAATAGAGAAAAACAAGACTTAAAAGAAATGATCAGAAACTCACAGATCTGTACAATAACATCAGAGTTCCAACACACATGGAACAAAAGATCCAAAAGGAGAAGAGAGAGAGAAAAAGCCAGAAAAAATATTTGAGTAAATAATGGCCAAAATTTCCCCACATTTTCAAAATGGACAAATAAGCACCAGAATGGCAATCATGTGGTTTGTAACAGCAGAGTTAAATAGTTGCAGGAAAGATCATATGATTTGCAAAACCAAAATACATGTATTTATTACCTGTTGCTTTATTGAAAAAATGTAACGTCTATGGTAGCCCATATAAAAGTCCTATTAAGTTTAAAAGGACAGAAATCATACAAAAATTTTCTTTGATTACAACAGAATTAAATTAGAAATGAACAAATTATAGAAGACAAAAGTTGGAGAACCTATACTACCTGTTTTCAGAACTCAGCAGAAAGCCACCATAATCAAGACAGGACTGCATTGATGAGAGGATAGGCATTTACATCAATGGATAATAATTGAGAGTCTAAAAATAAATCCATACAATTATGGTCAACCATTTTCAATAAAGGTGCCTTGACAATTCAATGAGGGAAATGAATGTCTTTTTAAGAAATAATGCTCAAACAATTGGATATTCACGTGCATAAAAAAGAATTTAGACACTTCCGTCATATTACATATAAGAATTAGCTCAAAATAGACCAAAACTTAAATATAAGAGCTGAAACTCTAAAATTTTTATAAAATGACATAGGAGAAAATACTCATGACTTAATCTGAGCAAATAGTTTTTAGATGTAACACCAAGAATGCAAACCCCAAAAATCTAATTGATAAATTGCACCTAATCAAAATTAAATATGTTTGCACTTCCAAGGAAACCATTAATAAAATGGAAAGACATAAATAGGCTGGAAGAAAGTGCTTGTAAATCATATATCCAACAAGCGATTTGTATTCAGAATGTAAATATCCAGTATATAAAAAGAGCTCTTACGACTCAAAGATACGTAAACAAAAAACAATTAAAAATGAGAGTTTCCTCACAAAACTAAACATATCGTTACTATCTGACCCAGCAGTCACATTCCTTGGTATTTACTCAAAGGAGTCAAAAACATGTCTACACAAAACCCTGCACATGGATGTTTAAGCAGCTTTATTAAAAACTGTCATAATTCAGAAGCTACCAGGATGTCCCGCAGTAGGTGAGTGCATAATAAACTGATACATCCAGATGATGGACTATTATTTGGTGCTAAAAAGAAATGAGCTACCAAGCCATGAGAAAACATGGAGGAAACTGAAAGAAGCCAATCTAAAAAGGCCACCTACTGTGTGATTCCAACAATATGGCATTCTAGAAAAGTCAAAACTGTAGACATTTAAAAAGAGCAGTGATTGCCAGGGTTAGGGGGGAGGGAAGGATAAAGTGGTGGAGCACAGAGACTTCTAGGGCAGTAAAACTCCTTCGTATGATACTATAAGTATAAGATACATGCCATTATATATTTGTTCAAACCCATAAAATGTCCAACACCAACAGTGAATTCTAATGTAAACTATGGACTGTGGGTCATAATGACGTGTCAGTGTAGGTTCATCAACTGTAACAAGTGCACCACTCTGGCGGGGGATGTTGATAATGGGAGAGGCTGTGCATGTGGGGGGAGGCAGCAGGTACAGGGAAATCTCTGTACCTTCCTCTCAATTTGCATGAACCTAAAACTGTTCTAATATATAAAGTCTTTTTAAACACTGAGGAAAATTTTTGAATAAATATTTTACTAAAGAATGAATACAAATAGATAATAAGTACATGAAAAAGATCCTCAACAACACTAGTCATTGGGAGATGTGAATTAAAACCCCACTGCTCTAGGATGGCTGTAATCAAAAAGACAGACCAGTGTTGACAAGGGTGTGGAGTAACAAGAAACCTCATCACTGTTGCTGGGAATGTAAAATGGTAAAGTCATTCTGGACAACAGCTCTGCAGTTTCTTAAAGTGTTAAACACAACTTCCCATACAACCAAGAAATTTGATTCCTAGGAATCTATCTGAGGAGAGTAAAAACATATGTCCATATATACAAAGACATTTATGTGACTGTTCATAGCATGTTATTCATTATAGCCAAACACTGTAAACAATCCAAACGTTCCTCAACTAGTTAATAGATAAACAAATGTTTAGCTATACAACAGAATACTATTCAGCAATAAAAAGAAGCAAACTACTGATATATGCTACAACGTGGATGAATGTCAAAAATACTAGGATAAGTGAAAGAAGTCGGATATAAAAACCTGCATGTTATATGATTCTATTAAAATGAAGTATCCATAAAAGGCAAATCTATTTTTTTTTTTTTTTGACTGGTAAGGGGATCGCAACCCTCGGCAAGGTGTGGTCTGCACCGCGCTCAGCCAGTGAGCGCACCGGCCATCCCTACATAGGATCCGAACCCGCGGCCCCGGCACCACCAGTGCTGCACTCTCCCGAGTGAGCCATGGGGCTGGCCCCATAAAAGACAAATCTAAAGAAAAAGCACATCAATGTTTTCCTAGGTTTGGGGTTTTGAATGGGGGATTAATCGAAAACAGGCATGAGAAAATTCTAAAGCTTGCTTATGATGACATTTGCATGCATCTACAAATTTACTAAAATATTACAGAATCATACACTTACTGAGGTATGTAAATTATACTAGGGTACTTCAAAAAGTTCATGGAAAAATTCATATTATCTTCTGATTCTATTTTTCTGTGAACTTCTGAAGTACCGTCACACTCAAAAAAGCTATTTAAAGAACAAGTAGTGTTTAGTCTGGCAGTTAAAATTTGGTAACGTTAGGCAATAGGCAAACAGTGAATGAGTATAAGAGTAAAAAACAAAGAGGAGGAAAAAAGGTCCAGAGACAGAAAATTAAGAAGAAAAGTCTGCTTCAACATGAAGCAATGTGTGATGTATGTGAATGGCTGATCCATTCATGACAGACTGGCTTTGCAGGATTGGATTTTCAGGAACCAACATATATAAAAGGAAATGTCTGTAAGATTTAAGTGTAATGGGATTATGCATGTGAATTTATAGCATCCGAAATTATTTTAACACTTTACATAAACTAATAATGCTGTAGTCAACAGCAATGTCTCCGGATATCCCTCAGAGATCTCGTATTTCAAATAATAGAACTAGTGTTATATTTAACTCCTAGTAACAAGGACTGGGCTACTCATGCACAGACTTAATCATTTACTAACTGTTGGGAGACACTCCTCCATGGTTCTCCTGTGCTCCTACATGTCTTGCCACAAATTCCCGGAATGTGAGACTCTGACTGCTCTTTATGTTGGCCATTTCTCAAAGTTGTGTTTATAGTGAATAACCATGAAGGATGACGTGATATCTGTCCCCAAACCAAGAGCTTGCTTATCAGTTGCTATAAAGCACTGGGTTCACCAGGTTTGGTGTTCCTGTGTATACAGGCATCCATCCGTGCCCATCTGTGTCCCACCTATGAGAACTGTAGTTCAAGGAACCAATGAGACCCTGCTAACACTCTGGCTACTGCTTTTGCTGTGAGTAATATGTCTTTTATCTCTGAGCCAGGAGTCTTGTGTCTTCTGTCAGTATCCATGAAACTATGGGAAGCTAAATTTGTTACCTTGAAAGTAAGAGTACAATCTCTGATTCCTTAAGAGATTTTAGCACTTTACTCACAGCATATTTTACCTAAAGATGGGGAGAAAAATGTCTAAACTTTAAAGCCTGATGTCCACTACACCTTCAGGATTTTTATTAGCTAAATCCTATCGCTCACTCCCATGAACAGATTTTATAAAATCTGTATTTGTATTGCTATATGGCCTACACATATGTATTGCTATGTGTATTATAAAGTTAAAAAGAAACCAAGAATTTTGAAATTTAATTACAAAATTTATTCTATGATGAAGAAAACATTAGACTAGATTCAGTAACCTGTTAAGTTTTCAGTTCAGCTAATTCCACCTGCTGGGATAAGAGGCCTTGATTAGAAAAGTTCTGAAAGATCCTTCAGGAAAACCAGAGTGAGTTCTAGCACTCACCCAAGAATAGTAGCAATGAACTAAGAAAGGGTATAGTCTTTGGACAAAGACAACTAGGTTAAATGATAGTTCTGCCACCTACTTGCTGTGTGACCTTGGTTATGTTCCTTAATCTCTCTCTCTCCTTCAGTCTCCTAGTCTACACAATGCAGACTAAGAACTATATCACCATCATAGTTTTATAAAGATGGAGGGACATCTGCATGTAGTGCCATATCTTGCCCTGGGTACACTCCTTAATTGTTGAATGCTACTCAGCCTTGCTCAGGAAATGACCATGAAAGCAGGTATAGCTCACCTGTGGGACGTCAGCACTGCAGCACAACCTTCCTGAACCTCCTTCATTATTGTTTGCCACAGGTATCGTTTAGAGCAGGGATCCATCCCGGAGCTGGGCTCATCCTGAAGGAAAGAAAACACAGTGATGGACATTTGGAGAACTCACATAGGAATATACACACTGACATGTGAGGCCAGACCCTGACTGAGAGAAAAATCCCTGTTCTAGCTCTAACATGTACCTCTCCATTAGCTTTATTGCACTTTGCTCAACAACATCAAGATAACAGGGGAAAGTAAGAGTGAAATGAGTCAGTGCCCATCTTCCCCACTCACACAGAAGGCTTTCCATGAGGCTGACTTCTTCCTTGTTTCACCTAGATTACTGAGGTGATCAGCACAGATGAGAGGTTTGGAAGAAGCTTGGAGCAGGGAAAAGAGGCCATGGACCATATGAACTACTCTATGGAATCCATCAGGAAGCCCACTCATGAGCAACTTGGGAGGCCTCTCTGAAGACCCCCTAACAACTGTCCCACTGTAGCACACATGCTGTGTATATACCTCACTGTCCCCTTCCATCAAGCCAGCTTCCTGAGTGCCCCCACAGAAGGCAAATGCAAGTGTCTCATGCAGACAACCAGCACAACTCTGTGGAATTAGGAGAAGGCACAAAAATTCAAGCATTTTAGGACAACACCCTAAGAAGAACAAATGGTAAGCTCTCAGCACCTGGCCTGATTTTCTGGGATTGAGAGAAGGCATACAATTTTAAGAATTTCTCTCCCCACACCAAGAGTGACCAAGTGTGCAGCAGGCACATCTATAGGAAAGGTCTGAGAGAACCTCAGAATTCCTAGTCTGGCTGATGGGTAAAGATGTTTCCCTCTCAAAGACAGTCAGTAAGGACTGGAAGAAATGACTGCTTTTTCAAATGTGAATACAGTAGTGTTAGACTTCGGGAAACTTAAGAAAAAAGAAAAGAAAAGAAAACATCACACCACCGAAGGAACACAATATTCCAGTAACTGACCCCAAAGAAATGGAGTTCTATAAGTTGCCTGATATAAAATTTGAAATAACTGTTTTAAAAAGCTTAGTGAGGGATGGCCAGCTAGCTAAGTTGGTTAGAGCTTGGTGCTGATAACACCAAGGTGTAGGGTTCTATCCTTGTTTGGCCAGCTACCAAAAACAAAAAACAAAGCTCTGTGAGCTATAAGTGAAGACAAATAAAAAACTCAAAAAATCAGAAAAAGGATTCATGAACTAAAGAAGTTGTTTAAAAAATAGAGATCATAAAAAAGAACCAAATGACAATTGTAGAGCAGGAAAATACAATTAATAAAATAAGAAATGCAACAGAGACTATCAAAAGCAGACTTAAAAGAACCAAATGACAATTGTAGAGCAGGAAAATACAATTAATAAAATAAGAAATGCAATAGAGACTATCAAAAGCAGACTTAAGCAAATGAATCTGTGAACTTGAGACAGGTTATTTGAAATTATCCAGTTAAAGGAGGGAAAAAATATAAATAAATAAAAAGAAATGAAGAAAGCCTACAGGATTGATGGGACTCCTTCACAGAGACTATCAAAAGCAGACTTAAGCAAATGAATCTGTGAACTTGAGACAGGTTATTTGAAATTATCCAGTTAAAGGACAGAAAAAATATAAATAAATAAAAAGAAATGAAGAAAGCCTACAGGATTGATGGGACTCCTTCAAGAGAACATTTGCATTATGGAATTTACCAAAGAAGAGAGAGACAGAAAGGGGCAGAATGCTTATTTAAAGAAATAATAGCTGAACATTCTCAATTTGGGGAAAAGACATAGACATCAAAATATATGAAACTCAAAAGTTAAAACTTCAAAGAATTCTTTCCCAAGACACACTATGTAATCAAACTGTCAAAAATCAAAGATAAAATTCTGAAAGCAGCAGGAAAAATAGAGGCTTATCATATGCAAAGGGAATAACCATAAGGCTATTAGTAGATTTCTTGGCAATAATCTTGAAAACTAGGAAACAGTGGGAGGATATATTCAAAGTAATGAGAGGAAAAACTTTTTAAAAATCTACAGCCAAACAAAAATATTTCACCCAGCAAATCTTCCCTTTAGAAATGAAGGGGAGATAAATAATTTCCCAGACAAACAAAACCTGAGAAAGGCCATCACCACTGTACTTGCCTTACAAAAAAAATGCTAAAAAAAAGTTCTTCAAGCTACAATAAGAGAATGCTAATGAGTAACATAAAAATATACGAAATTATAAAACTCATTGGAAAGATAAGTTTATAGTGAAATTCAGAATACTCTAATACTTAATGGTGGTATGTAAATAACTTATAACTACATTATTAAAGGTTAAAAGACAAAAATATTTAAAATAACTACAGCCACAATAATTTGTTAATGAATACATGATACAAAACCTGCAAATTGTGACATCAAAAACATAAAATGGGATAAAAAGAAGTAAAAGTAGATTTTTTTGTATGTGATCAAAGTTAAGTTATTATCTCAAAGTAGACTTTTATAACTACAAGATATTTTATATAGCCTGATGGTAAGCACAAATCAAAAACCTATAGTAGACACACAAAAGACTAATAGAAAGAAATAAAATCATACCAATATAGAAAATCATCAAATCAAAAGGAAGACAGCAATAGTGGAAGAAAAGAAAAAATAATGTAAAAAGTAGCCAGAAAATTAGCAAAATGGCAAGAGTACATCCTTACCTATCAATAATTACTTTAAATGTAAGTAAATAAAATTCTCCAATGAAAAGACATAAAGTGAATAAATGGATAAAACAAGACCCAAGTATATGCTGCCTACAAGAGACCATGTAATCATTAAGAACACATACAGACTGAAAGTGAAGTGATAGAAAAAGATATTCCATGGAAATGGAAACCCAAACAGGTCATGTTATTATATTTTTATCAGAAAAAGGAGACTTTAAGTTGTACACTGTAAAAACAGATAAAAAATGGTATTAAATAATGATAAAGGGATGAACTCATCAAGAGGATAAAACAATTGTAAATATCTATACACACAAAGTTAGAGCAACTAAATATATAATGCAAATATTAACAGAACTAAAGGGAGAAAAAGACAGCAATACAATAATATTAGGGGACTTTAATACCCCACTTCCAACAACGAAGAGATCATCCAGACAAAAAATTAATAAGAAAGCAGTGTACTTAAACTACACTTTAGACCAAATGAACCTGTGATACACAGAATATTCTATCTGACAGGATCAGAAAAACGCATTCTTCCCTGGAGCACATAAAACATTCTCCAGGATGGACTGTATGTTAAGCCACAAAACAAGTCTTAACCAATTTAAGAATACTGAAATATCATCAAGCAACTTTTCCAACCACAATGGTATGAAACTATAAGTCAATATGGAGAACAACTGGAAAATTCACAAATATGTGAAAATTAAACAACACCCGCCTGAGCAACCCATGGGTCAAAGATGAAACAAAATAGCAAATCAAAGAATATATTGAGATAAATGAAAATGGAAATACAACATACCAAAACTTATGGGATGCAGCAAAAGCAGTTCTAAGGGGTAGGTATATAACAGTACCTGCTTAAATATAAAAAAAGAGGGGAGAATGATGTCATCAAGGTAGTGGAACAGCTAGCTGATTGATTACTGGTATCTCACCTTCCCATGAGTAACCAATTTACAACTATTAAAAAGCAAAGACTGCCAATATCGAACCACTGGAGCTGGGAGAAGAGAAGGAGACACCCATGGAGTTCATAATGTGCAAGAGGCAATGGTGAGAGGGTATAGGGATGATGCCTATTGTTCTGAGCCAGTCTGGCACAGAGGCAGGGACTAGCTGCTGCACACAGATCAAAGCTGGAAAAAGCCACAGCAGCACCCTTCACGTAAAACTGCTTGGAGTCTGCAGGGGAGAGGAATGCTTTGAGGCACACCATACCAGCCCATGGGCCATAAACACCACTGGCAGGATTCCCCAAGGGCCCACATAGGAGAAAGTGGCCACAACTAATTGGAGAAAAGAGCCACCCAGAGGCTGGTGAGTTATCACAAGGAACGTGTACATGGCCTGCCCCACAGGAAGTGAACGGACTTCAGGAGAAAGGCTGGTCCCCCAGGGGAATGTTGAGTGCAGCATGGGCAGCTGGTGTCAGTGGAAATTGGTTGGGGAAATATGTTGACACCAAATGAAACAAGCAAAGCATCAGCAATGGATGCAGAGGAATAGCAGATCTATGAAATGTCTAGCAGAGACTTCAGAACAACCTTAAGGATGTTCAGGGAGTCACAAGAAAATACAGATAGAACATTAAATGACATCTGGAAAATAATTCAGGAGCAAGATAATAAACTTGACAGAGGAATAGAATCAATTTAAAAAACAGAAATTCTAGAAATAAAGAATACAATATCTGAATTGGAAAAACTCAAATAGGAAGCTCCAATAGCAGACTTAATCAAATAGAGGAAAGAATCAGTGGGCTTGAAGATGAAACACATGCAATTATCCCAGACAAACAAAAGCTAAGGGGATTCACCAATGATAGACATGCCTTACAGGAAAAGATAAGGGGAGTTCTTCAATCTGAAAAAAGAAAATATATTAAAGTAAATAACTCAGCAAAATAGTCCACAGACAACTTCAGAATACTCCAATGTCCTAAGGGGGTAAATAAACCACTTACATCCTCAGTATGAAAACTAAAGGACAAACATAACAAGACACTAACACATACAACAACCACATAAAAGAAAGACAATTTTAAAAGGTGTATCTTGAAATAACAAACTGTCAAAAAGTGGGTGGGGGGCAGCGATGCCAAAACATACAATTGACTTTTGTTTTTTTTTTTGTTTTTTTCCTTAGATAGCAAAGTTAAGTACAGTCTAAAACCATTTGTTATAACACATTTTCTGTAAGCCTCATGGTAACCATAATACAAAAACTTAAAAGAGGCATACTAAAAACAAATAGTGAGAAATCAAAATGTAAAGCTAGAGAAAACCATTCAACCACAAAGGACAGTAAGACCAGAGAAAAAGGAAAAAAGGATCCACAAAACAACCAGAAAAA